GGAGAATATATGCGAATGAGAGAGAGGCTAAACGAGTAAGCAAACATAGATAGCAAAAGTCTACTAAAAGATAAAATGTACTTGATTATAAAAGCAACTAAAGCAAGAAAAATTAATAGTACGGAAAGCAATGAAAATAAGAGTTGTCCAGAAATATCCCCAAATGTCTAAGGTGTAGTCAAACATCATAATTGGGTGGATCAGAAACTACAAGAACCAGGAGAAGGCAAAAGAATCGGCGGCCAGGATTGGGCAAAATATTGAAAAAGGAAATTAAAAGGAGAAAGAGGAACCTAAGAGAAAATGCACGGGTGTCAGCACGGGCGTGCGACATTCGTGCGAAAAATAGGAAAAGAAAAAGAAAAGGAAGAAAAAAAAAAGATAAGAAAAAGAAAAAAAAAAAAGGAAAATAACGCATGCGCGTTCCAATGCCTGTGCGAGACATGTCTCCGCGAATCTCTGCAGGTACAAACTTGAATTCACCTGAGTAGTTTCTATACTCTTCATTGCAATACTACTAAACAACATTGTTCCTCATCAAACATTGCTACCAAAAGTCGAAAATGCAATACGAAAACTAAATAGTATTTATTTAGACTACAGTTTTTAGACTAGCATAATTACAATGTTGAAAATATTTATTTTTAGTGACAATTATTATCAGTCTCTCATATATTATCTTATATTTATATACTTTAAATTACGGATGTAAACAAACGAATTCTACATTCAATTATCTATGTATGAATGTCTCTTATATAGTCTTGCATTGATATACTTTGAATTACTTATTTAAAAATAATCATTAGGCATTTGTGCGTGAAAATACGAGTACAAAAATAAAGGCTCTAAATCCTTCCAAACTTTACCATGCATATGTGATTTCTATTCCACTATATGGCATACTTGTATTAAACAGAGGATATTATTACAAAAATAAATAAATAAATAAATAAATAAAATGTTAGAGAAAAATCAACACTCATTTCAAACATATATTCAGGATGATCCCATGAATATGTATACAAGTATACAACATAATAATAGTGTAGTTTTTATTTTATTTGACTAAAAACACTATTAATTTTTCTCGTTCCAAATTTCTATCAATTTTTTTGTATTGTTTTGTTTTCTTGTTTATGGTCCTTTGTTACTCCATATTCGTGAGGCACATGCAAATTGGTTTTGAAAGAAGGGATATATTTTTCCTAATAAAATAAAAACATTTGGTAGGATCAACTTTTTTAGAGTATACTAAATATTTTCATTTTTTAAAGTTATGCTCATCATTGAAAATCTACCTAATTTATTTAATTACATATTTATATTTTTTATTTTTCGCATGAATGTCGCTCGCCCGTGCCGACACTCGTACATTTTCCTTTAAGTTCCTCTTTCTCCTTTTAAATTCCTTTTTCTCTATTTTTTATAATCCTGGCCGCCGTTTCTCTTGCCCTCTCCGGGCTCTCGTAGTTTCTGATCCACCCAATTATGATGTTTGACTACACCTTATACATTTGGGGATATTTCTCGACAACTCTTATTTTCATTGCTTTCCGTACAATTGATTTGTCTTGCTTTACTTGCTTTTCTAATCTTGTACATTTTATCTTTTGATAGACTTTTACTATTTCTCTTTGTACATGCATAGATTCGCGGAGACAAGTCTCGCACAGACATTGGAACGCGCGTGCATTATTTTCCTTTTTCTTTTTTTTTTCTTTTTTCTTTTTCTTATCTTTATTTTTTTTTACTTCATTATCTTTTTCGTTTCCTATTTTTCGCACAAATGTCGCACGCCCGTGCCGACACTCGTACATTTCCCATCGGTTCCTCTTTCTCATTTTAATTTCCTTTTTCTCTATTTTTCCTAATCCTGGCCGCCGATTCTCTTGCCCTGTCCTGGCTCTCGTAGTTTCTGATCCACCCAATTATGATGTTTGACTACACGTTAGACATTTGGGGATATTTCTCGACAACTCTTATTTTCATTGCTTTCCGAACTATTGATTTGTCTTGCTTTAATTTCTTTTCTAATCTTGTACATTTTATCTTTTGGTAGACTTTTACTATTTCTGTTTGTACCTGCATAAATTCGCAGAGACAAGTCTCGCACAGGCATTGAAACGCGCGTGCATTATTTTCCATTTTTTTTCTTTTTCTTATCTTTATTTTTTTTCCTTCCTTTTCTTTTTCTTTTCCTATTTTTCGCACGAATGTCGCACGCCCGTGACGACACTCGTACATTTTCCCTTAGGTTCCTCTTTCTCCTTTTAATTTCCTTTTTCTCTATTTTTCTTAATCCTGGCCGCCGTTTCTCTTGCCATCTCCTGGCTCTCGTAGTTTCTGATCCACCCAATTATGATGTTTGACTACACCTTAGACATTTGGGGATATTTCTGGACAACTCTTATTTTCATTGCTTTCCGTACTATTGATTTGTCTTGCTTTACTTGCTTTTCTAATCTTGTACATTTTATATTTTGATAGACTTTTACTATTTCTGTTTGTACCTGCATAGATTCGCGGAGACAAGTCTCGCACTGGCATTGGAACGCGCGTGCATAATTTTCATTTTTCTTTTTTCTTTTTTCTTTTTCTTATCTTTATTTTTTTTCCTTCCTTTTCTTTTTCTTTTCCTATTTTTCGCACGAATGTCGCACGCCCGTGCCTACACTCGTACATTTTCCCTTAGGTTCCTCTTTCTCCTTTTAATTTCCTTTTTCTCTATTTTTCCTAATCCTGACCGCAGTTTCTCTTTCCCTCTCCTGGCTCTCGTTGTTTCTGATCCACCCAATTATGATGTTTGACTACACCTTAGACATTTGGGGATATTTCTGGACAACTCTTATTTTCATTGCTTTCCGTACTATTGATTTGTCTTGTTTTACTTGCTTTTCTAATCTTGTACATTTTATCTTTTGGTAGACTTTTACTATTTCTGTTTGTACCTGCATAGATTCGCGGAGACAAGTGTTGCACAGGCATTGGAACGCGCGTACATTATTTTCCTTTTTCTTTTTTCTTTTTTCTTTTTCTTATTTTTATTTTTATTTTTTTCCTTCTTTTCTTTTCCTTTTCCTATTTTTCGCACGAATGTCGCACGGCCGTGCCGACACTCGTGCATTATCCCTTAGGTTCCTCTTTCTCCTTTTAATTTCCTTTTTCTCTATTTTTCCTAATCCTGGCCGCCGTTTCTCTTGCCCTCTCCCGGATCTCGTAGTTTTTTATCCACCCAATTATGATGTTTGACTACACCTTAGACATTTGGGGGTATTTCTGGACAACTCTTATTTTCATTGCTTTCCGTACTATTGATTTGTCTTGCTTTACTTGCTTTTCTAATCTTGTACATTTTATATTTTGGTAGACTTTTACTATTTCTATTTGTACCTGCAGAGATTCGCGGAGACAAGTCTCACACAGGCATTGCAACGTGCGTGCATTATTTTTCGTTTTCTTTTTTCTTTTTCTTATCGTTCTTTTTTTCCTTCCTTTTCTTTTTATTTTCCTATATTTCGCATGATTGTCGCTCGCCCGTGCCGACACTCATGCATTTTCCCTTAAGTTCATATTTCTCCTTTTAATTTCCTTTTTCTCTATTTTTCCTAATCCTGGCCGCCGTTTCTCTTGCCCTCTCCTGGCTCTCGTAGTTTCTGATCCACTCGATTATGATGTTTGACTACACCTTAGACATTTGGGAATATTTCTCGACAACTCTTATTTTTATTGCTTTCCGTACTATTGATTTGTCTTGCTTTTCTAATCTTGTACATTTTATCTTTTCGTAGACTTTTACTATTTCTGTTTGTACCTGCATAGATTCGCGGAGACAAGTCTCGCACAGGCATTGGAACGCGCGTGCATTATTTTCCTTTTTCTTTCTTCTTTTTTCTTTTTCTTATCTTTATTTTTTTCCTTCCTTTTCCTTTTTTTTTCCTATTTTTCGCACGAATGTCGCACGCCCGTGCCGACACTCGTGCATTTTCCCTTAGGTTCCTCTTTCTCATTTTAATTTCCTTTTTCTCTATTTTTCCTAATCCTGGCCACAGTTTCTCTTTCCCTCTCCTGGCTCTCGTAGTTTCTGATCCACTCAATTATGATGTTTGACTACACCTTAGACATTTGGGGATATTTCTGGACAACTCTTATTTTCATTGCTTTCCGTACTATTGATTTGTCTTGCTTTACTTGCTTTTCTAATCTTGTACATTTTATCTTTTGGTAGAATTTACTATTTCTGTTTGTACCTGCATAGATTCGCGGAGACAAGTCTCGCACAGGCATTGGAACGCGCGTGCATTATTTTCCTTTTTCTTTTTTTTGTTTTTTTCTTTTTTCTGTTTCTTATCTTTATTTTTTTTCCTTCGTTTTCTTTTTCTTTTCCTATTTTTCGCACGAATGTCGCACGCCCGTGCCGACACTCGTGCATTTTCCCTTAGGTTCCTCTTTCTCATTTTAATTTCATTTTTCTCTGTTTTTCCTAATCCTAGCCGCCATTTCTCTTGCCCTCTTCTGGCTCTCGTAGTTTCTTATCCATCCAATTATGATGTTTGACTACACCTTAGACATTTGGAGATATTTCTCGACAACTCTTATTTTCATTGCTTTTCGTACTATTGATTTGTCTTGCTTTACTTGCTTTAATTTTCTAATCTTGTATATTTTATCTTTTGGTAGACTTTTACTATTTCTGTTTGTACCTGCAGAGATTCGCGGAGACAAGTCTCGACAGGCATTGCAACGTGCGTGCATTATTTTCCTTTTCCTTTTTTCTTTTTCTTATCTTTATTTTTTTCCTTCATTTTCTTTTTCTTTTCCTATTTTTTCGCCTGAATGTCGCTCGCCCGTGCCGATACTCGTGCATTTTCCTTTAAGTTCCTATTTCTCCTTTTAATTTCCTTCTTCTCTATTTTTCCTAATCCTGGCCGCCGTTTCTCTTGCCCTCTCCTGACTCTCGTAGTTTTTGATTCACCCAATTATGATGTTTGACTACACCT